CAGTGGAACAGATTAGAAGATGTAGAAACAACTCCAGACACACTCAGTCATCTCATCTTCGACAAAGGAGCCAAACACCCTCATTGGAGGAAAGATAGCTTGTTTAATAAATGGTGCTGGAAAAATTGGGCTTCAACTTGCCAAAGATTAAAACTAGACCTGTATCTCTCACCATGCAGTCAACTAAAATCAAAATGGATTAAAGATCTAAATATCAAAACAGAAACGCTGAACCGGCTGAAACAGAGGTTAGGAAGAACTCTTGAAGACATTGGTGTAAGAAAAGATTTTATGAACAAAACCTCAGTTGCCCGTGAACTAGCACAAACAACAAGTGGGATCTCTTTTTGCTAAAAAGCTTCTGCACAGCAAGAGAAACCACCAGCAGTGTGAACCGATAACCCACAATGTGGGAAAAAAATTTTCACCTGTTATTCCTCAAACAAAGGTCTACCATCTAGAATCTATAAAGAACTTTAAAAAATCAGACCTCCCAAATTTAAAGACCCATTCCAAAAGTGGGCATCTGAAATGAACAGACATTTCTCTGACATCAATTTCTTTAACTGGCTCTTGATTTTCTGAAATCATTATGTATTGGAGGCCTTTAGAAAATATTACATTCAGTGTAGAAATAAATTTTCTAATCAATAGAAAGGTGTGGTGATAATATCTGCAATCAATTCAGAATTGGTGATGACTCAAATTATTATATAAACAAATGGGGGAAAAATCAAAGTAATCAAAAACCCAGGTATAGTTCTTGGGCTATTTGATTTCTATCCTTCCGGTTATAGTTGTTATTTTAGTATAGTTTTATGTTTGGGGCTACTGTTTTCTTTTTGTTTCCTTAATATCAGGTTATATTGTTCACCTGTATTTACAACATGTGATTTTATTTTCAGTTTAAAGAACTGCTTAAAAAGTTTTAAAAAATGTAAAAAGTAATTTTTATCCAGAAGCATTGAAGTTCCTCAACTTCAACCCTTCAAATAGCTACTGTTAATACTTATCTTCTTCCTTTCCTTTCCTCCTTTACTGCTTATTCTCTTTCCTCTTGATACATGTTAATTCAAGAAAATATGAAAGCTGAAATATATAAAAGAAAAATAAGCATATATTTTGTGGGGGGTTTTAAACATCCCTATATAAAATTAATGTTGTTTTCCTCAGCCCTGCTTCATTAATATCACCTGTAGTATTTCAAGTATACATATAGATCCTAGGATATACTTTGGACATAAGCAGATTAGAATCTTCAGGGGTAAGCTAAGAGGATTTTATTTTTAAAAAACAAAAAATTAAAAAAAATAAAAAACACAAACTCCTTGTGTTAGCCTCTGTCATTGTGACAGAATCCCAGAGAATAACAACTTCATGGAGCAAAGATTTATTTTGGCTCATCGTTTGAGAAGTTTTAGTCTGTGGGCAGCTGGCTCTGTTATTTTTAGGCATGTGGTAAGGCAGACACATGATAGAAGGGTATGGCAGAGGAAAGCTGCTCACTTCATGGCAGCCAGGAAGCAGAGAGAGGGAGAACATGCACTTGCAAACTTTTCCTTTTATTCTATCTGGACTCCAGGGTGTTGGATGGTGCCATCCACGTTTAAGGCAGCTCTCTCTCTCAGTAGGCTGTCCCACATGCCAGTCTTCTCTGGATGCACCCTCACAGATGCACACAGAAGTGTGCTCTACTAATTTCCTAGCTGTTTCTAAATCCAGTTAAATGACAGTCAAGGTAATTTTATTCTTCTTTAGAAATTTGTAATACCCTTCAGAGGTTTTTTAAGATAGAAAAATGTAAGTTGAAGTATTACACAAGCTTTAATTTATATACAACTCTTTATCTAATTATTCAATTTTATTTTCCTAGCCCTTCCACCCTATGGTGAATCTGGATTGTTCTCGAGATTTCCGGCCATTTCTTTGTGCACTCTATGCTCCTATTTGTATGGAATATGGACGTGTCACACTTCCTTGTCGTAGGCTGTGTCAGCGGGCCTATAGTGAGTGTTCAAAGCTGATGGAAATGTTTGGTGTTCCTTGGCCTGAAGATATGGAATGCAGTAGGTATGGAAATCATATATTTTCATGGGTTATTTCTTATGTTACAGTATATTTGAAAACTCTTGTCTTTTTATCGATTTTTAAAAGCTATATATATATATATATATATATATATGTATCTCAAAAATAAACTTTTTAAAGAATTAAGAATTATATAATTAAGACAATTCAGTTGATTTTTTTCTCTTTAAAACATATTTTTCTGCTTATAAAAGCAATGTCATTCATGGAAAATTAGCAAATACAAAGAAAATATTCATTTCCGTATCATTGTGGTGGCTTAAATAACTTGATTTAGATATGTAATGACCAAGGTAGTCTGTCATGTATAAATGCACCAGATCCAGAAAATATCAGACCCTTTTCACATCACATCTGACATTTAGACTATAAGCATTAAGATTTGAGGATTTACTAGACATTCTTATGGTTTTGTATGAATGAATATTATTAGTCATAATAATACACTACCTTAAAAAAGAATACTAAATTGAATATATATGTGCCCATAATTACCTAGCTTTGTTCAACCTTAACATTTTGTAATGTTTGCTTCAGATTTTCTTTTAAGAAATAAACACTGCAGGTACAGTTGCAGGTTCTTTGCTGGTGCGCTGCAGCTTGGTCTCGTCCCCTTTTTTAAACCCCCCCAGAGATCAGGTAGTCATTATGATGAATTTGTTGTAATTATTTCTGTTTTTGGTTTTATACTTATTACATATATGAAGTATGATCAAAATATATAGTGATAGTTTAACTTTAAAAAATAACAGTAAAAGACACTTTTAAAAAACCAAAAACACATTGCTGTTTATCCTTCTCAAAATATTCCCTCTTGCTTCAGATACGCTTATCTCATTGTTCTTGCCACTTTTTGAACAGTCCTGGAAGTCCTCTTTTGTGTCTTAACACAGTATGATCAAAATTACAGTAAGCGAAGCTGCCGAATGCCATCCAGTAGAAACACAGCTTGTGAAAACATTATGGTGTGTTCTCATCCACCTTATTCACCAGATTGGGCACTCATCAACTTCTGGCTCTTTCCCAAAGTCGAAATGACCATGCAAAGTAAATATTTTGAATCCATTTTGGACATTGAGGCAGCAACAACAGCTAAAGACATAAAAAAGAACTTCCAGAACTGCTTCAGAAGGTTGCCAGAATGATAAGTATGTTTGAAGCAAGGGCCATTAAAGGCCGTGTGTCTTTTAATGTCATAAAATAAAATGCTTAAAAATTTAAACTGTCACTAGTTTTTGACCACACCTTGTATACCTGTCTACATATAACATAAGATTTGTTGTTTATATTTTTGTTTTACTTGTGTCTATGTTTGTAGGTCTGGTTCATTCCTTTTTAATTGCTAATTAAAACTTAATGTCATTTAAGTAATTATATTAACATCATGATTTACCTGTCTTCTACTGATGGTCATTTAGATTGCTCCCAGGTTTTGGTCACAAACAACATTCATTTTTAAAAGCAGTTTTGCTTATGATCTGCCAGTTGGTGATGAAGGACTGCTGGTCTCCTCATGGGGCAGAAGGGCAGGGGAGCAAGAGTGAGTGAATTCTGTCTCTGGGGCTCTACTTAAAAGCCTCTTCAGAGTTCACGCTCATTAATCCGTGAGGGCTCTGCCTTCATGGCTTAATGACTTTTCCAAAGACCCCACCTCTTAACACTCAACAGTGGAGATTAAGCTTCAGCATATATATTTAGGGGAGACACTGAGCAATTTTAAGGGCATCTTCAATTTCATTTCTTTATTTAGTTTAAACTTTGTGATCTATCACTTAAAATAACTCTTGTTATTTCAGCTCATTAGTATTTCCACAGACCTCCAAATAGACTGATCTAGCCAATTTCTTACAAGTTAATTACATTATATACTTAATGATTCTCAAACCATAGCAATTTTGTTACTTGTAACTGTTTATCTTTTTTTTTTGGTTCCGGGGATCGAACTCGGGACCTCACACTTTCGAAGCAGGCGGTGGAATCACTGAGCTAAATCCCCGGCCCATAACTGCTTATCTTGGTCAGGAAAATTTAGTCCTTAGTACTTGTGCCAAATCTACATCACTTACTTTAGACCCTCTCTCATTTTAATGTCCTTTAACCATAGCCTGTTCTCCTTTGCTGAAAATTATAAGGACCGTAGTATATGACCTGCCATCTCTCAGGCCAGTCCTTCTCAATTTTCTTCTTGGAACTTCTTCCTCTTTTTTTTTTTTTGGTACCAGGGATTGAACTCGGGTCCTTGGGCTTACGCAGCAGGCAGCGAAACCACTGAGCTAAATCCCCAGCCCTGTCCCTTATCATTCTTCTCAGAGTTCAGTTCCTGTTTTCTTTGTTCCACAGCTTTCCCAGGAGACTCATCTCATGGATTCTAACGCTTGTTTATATACCAGTGACTCCTCAACCTAAATCTGTGGCTATTATCCCCCTGCTGAACTCTAAACCCACATAGCCATCAGCCTTTGGAAACCTTAGCCTGTATTTGTCAGATACCTCAGTTTCAATATGTCCAAAATTGGTTTTTTTCTTTTGTTCTTTTTTTTATACCTTGGAAGTCATATTCTATTTTTTTCATTAACCTCAACCCGCATGTCCAGTCAGTCATAAATTCTGTTGCTTTAATCTATCTACTTTCATATCTGTGTCATTTATAGCAAAAGGCCTTATCTAGTTTTATTTTTTAATTATTTTTACTTATTTTAAAAATGTATGTATTTCATCTGATCTCTCTGCTGCTATTTAAATTCACTCAGCTCAAGTCGTCTTCACACTGCTTCTAGATATTTTTTTGGTTAACTGGGTAAGGGTTATATGAATATATTCATTTAGCATTTATTAGTTCAACAAATCATATGTCTGGTGTGACAGATGCTCTTCTAGATGTTGAAGATAAGCGGTGAATAAAAGGAAGTCCTTGTTCTAATGGAGCTAAAATTCTAGTGATAGTGGTAAGTGGAGAAAGGTAATGAGTAGTTAATGTCTGATAGTCATGAATTCTAATAAGAAAGAATAGAGTTGGGTGATAGTGATACAGTAGAGGGGAGCAGAGGAACTGTTAGTCATGTGGAAGGACTTTTTTTGTTGTTGTTGTTGGTAACAAGGATCGAACTTGGGACCTTACGCTTGCAAGGCAGGCGCCAGAACCACTGAGCTAAATCCCCAGCCCTAGAAGGACTTTTTAATAAGAGGATCTTGACCAGGGACCTGAATGGAACGAGAGAACAAATGAGAACAGATATCTGGGGAAGAACAGTCTAGGCAGAGGAAACAGAGCAGCAAGTGAAGAGGCTCTGAAGCTGGAAGTACAGTGTACTTGACAGATTCATAGAACAATAGAAGACCAAAGAGGCTGGAGCTGAGTGAGTGAGAGAATGGAAGGAAATAAAAGCCAGTACTGGGGTAGGAGATGTGTAAAGCTCTGCAGGGGAATTTAGATTTGCCTCTGAATGAGATGGGAAGCCAGGAGAGAGTTTTGAGCAGAAGAGGCTTGATCATGAATTCAGGAGTGGCATGTCTGAAGGTCCACTGTGAGTCTGGGGGTGCAGTTCAATGGTGCAGCTCTTGCCTAGCATGTGTGAGGTCCTGGGTTCAGTCCCCAGCACAACAATAAGAACAACAACAGTAGAACACAAAGCAGAAAGGTTCTTTCTGGCTGTTATGTGAGGATGGAGATGATGAATCGAAGCCATCCCACTCCACTCCCAGAAGTTCAGGGAAGAGGTATTGGTGGCTTGGACAAGGCAGAGTGGTGGAAAAAATAAGTGGTCAGATTCTGAATTATATTGCTATGCTAGTCATCGTGATAAAATACTCTTTAAAAAAAAGGGGAGAAAGGGCCTTTTTTGGCTCATCATTTCAGAGGTTTCAGTCCATTGCCACTTGGCTCCATTGTGTTTGGACTTGTGCTGAGATAGAACTTGGGGAGGAGAGCATGCTCACCTCATAGTGGACAGGAGGCAGAGAGAGAGAGGAGGGGCCAGAGACAAAATATACCCCTCAGAAGCCTGCAGCCATTGAGCTACAGTACTTCCTCCATTTAGTCCCTCCACTCCTAATCTCCACCAATTTCCCCACCACCTCCTAGCAGTGCCATCAGCTGGGAACCAGGCCTTTAGCACATGGCTTTTGGGAGAGATTTAAGATCCAAATAACAATTGCAGAGTAGACTGACAAGAATTACTGGCATACAGTGTGTGTGCACGTGTGTCTTTTGAGTACGGAAGCACACGTGTGACAGTGGGACAGGTGTGGCTGGGGAGTGGGATGCAGAAGCTTTAAGAGCATTTTTTTTTCTAATTCATGACAGTGTTTCCTATCTTTTGCCTGTAGGCAGGGAAAATGTATAGTATTTTATTTGTTTTACTCTCAATTTGTAAGTCTTTAAGTAGCTTACATTGATTATCATAGAGGAAGGCAAGTGACTTGTTTAAAGTCGTATTTAGTATTCTTTTCAATTTCTGTACTTTAAAATATCGAAATTAAAATTGTATTACTTCTGTTTTGAAAAAAAATTACTGGCATACATTGTAGTTGGAGATGAGAGACAAAGGACTTCAAGGATGATCCCAAAACAACTGGAAGAATGGGGATTCCTGCTTATGTAGGTGGGGAAACTGTGGTGTGGAAGTCAAGTGTTTGGTTTTGGAAGGGTGAAAGATTGAGTGCCCATTAGATATCCACATGTATATGTTGAGTTGTTGGTTGTATATACAGCCATAGCTATGGGAAGTATATAGTGTTATTCTGTGTGACTGAATTTTATATCAGTTGTTCGTATGCACACATATTTTTGCAACATGCATAGCTCACCAACCTCATCTCCTGTCACAACTCATGCATAATTTATGGTCCAATAATGTAAAATGCACTGTGACTTTGATTTCATTTGCTTCTTAGAATACTGATTGGTGTATACAGTACTAATCCTGCAAAATACTGATTCAAAGCCTTAGTAAGGGACTCATTCTGTGAAGTCTTTCACAACAGTTTTCCTCAATACATTAATTATTTTCTTTTATCATTTTTAGCTTATATAGATTGTGATTGCCTTATGCATCACAGGGCTATATTGTGTTACATTTATAAGTTTGTTTCCTTCTGTGCTAAAAGATAAGAACTCCTGGTTTGTTTACTCTTATCTTTTTATTGTTAGCCCTGGGATACTATGTGGTTCCAGTAAATATTTGAAGGCAGTAAACTTCTGTAGTTTGGCCTCATAATTCCAAGTCCTGTGAAGACAGTGGTTTGTATTAGAAAATAAAAAGATTTGAAGATATTAATCACCTAATGTTTTGCGTGTATTTGGCAAACAACATTTATGCTAGTTTCTGGGAAGCTCTTTGATGCATGTAAAACAATAACTAGCTAATAGGAGTCTAAAGTTTTAGAAACTGATACCGTCAAGAAAATTGAAGGGAATTCGTGAGAATGGTGCCCTTAATCATATAAATTTGTCTGCAACAAAACCCTGTTTTCTTTATCTTGAGGCTGTTACACTTTCTAAAGTCTGTGGATCATTCACCTTTGGAAGCTTGTTAACACAGATTTTTAAATTTTTTATATTTAATACAAGTAGATATTTATAAAACACAAAAACATTCTTCAGTGAAAAAGTAAAACAAAATTTAATAATAAAAGAGAATAACAATGCTTAGTATACTATGTATCATGATCTCAAAACAGTGGCCAAAATGTTACTCAGAGTACAAGTCATTGACAAAAAAGATTCTCTCTTAACAAAGAAGAAACAATGGAAGAAACTAGAAATGAAACAAATTAGTGTTTATCTTAAAATATTTTTGAAACAGATTGGATAATTTAGGGAGTTATTTGAACTTCTCCCTACTTCCTATTTATCCATCTTCTATTTTTGCTTGTGTTCGCCTTCCCTCTCTCTCTCTATATATGTATATATACATATTAAAATTGTATACATATATATATAATATATACTTATATTTTTTTTAGTTTCTCATACAAGAGAAAGATAAACTTGAGGCATTCATGGGCCAATGGATACAATTTGAGAATAAAATATTAAGTGAAATAAATCAGACTCACAAGCCTAAAATACAGATTTCTGAGCCCTAGCCACAAGCATTCTAAAATATGATCTGTGGTGTCGGGGACTAACAAGTTGTATTTTTAAAATATCCTCAAATTTTTCTTATGTACCTCAAAGTGTGAAAATAACTATTAAAGAGTACGGTGGGCTGGAGAGGAACCAGGGATGGTAGGAAAGAACTAGGTGACATTAGAGACCTTTCAAGTCCTTTAATTAGTCAGTAGGCTAAGCAGAGAGTGAGTGTGAAATGAGATCTAGAAGCTGAGCCACTTGTAAGGATAGTTAGTGCTAATGTAACTCACAGCACCTTGAACATTTAGGGAAGGTTAAGGTTTTTAATTCTTGTGCTTAAACTTTTAGCTACTGTTCTGTAGGAGTTAGATAATTATACTCATATATTTTTATATTTCAAAATCATGCTCTGTGTCCTAAATAAATACCATATATATACTGTTCATAATTGATGACTATGTTTGACTCTTTTATAAAGAGTGCTGATTTTGAAGGCAAAACAAAATTAAGTTTAAAACCATGTCATGTTTTGGCCAGCTATTTGAAATCTGGTTGTATGGCCCACAAACAAGGTATAACCACTTTATTTCTTGTTTTTTTCCTTAAATTCTTTTATTGGTACATTTTAGATAAACAGTACATTTACATTTATCATTTATCATGCTTGTACCTGTACATGATGTATCTTGGTTCTTATTTTTTTCCCCATTACCTGTGCACCCTTCACCCCCTCCACCCACCACTTTATTTCTGCTTATGGAACTGCCCTCCAACAATTTAGGAATAAAAAAGGTCATGAGTGTTAAATTTCAAAATTCAAATTGTTAGGTGGTAGATTTCCCCGTAAGTAAAAATGGTTCTCATCTTGTGGTTTTTTTTTTTAGGTTTCCAGATTGTGATGAGCCATATCCTCGTCTTGTGGATCTGAATTTAGTTGGAGATCCGACTGAAGGAGCCCCAGTGGCAGTGCAGAGGGACTATGGTTTTTGGTGTCCCCGAGAATTGAAAATTGATCCTGATCTTGGTTATTCGTTTTTGCACGTGCGTGATTGTTCACCTCCTTGTCCAAATATGTACTTTAGGAGAGAAGAACTATCATTTGCTCGCTATTTCATAGGATTGATTTCAATCATTTGCCTCTCTGCCACATTGTTTACTTTTTTAACTTTTTTGATTGATGTCACAAGATTCCGTTATCCTGAAAGGCCTATTATATTTTATGCAGTCTGCTACATGATGGTATCATTAATTTTTTTCATTGGGTTTTTGCTTGAGGACCGAGTAGCCTGCAATGCTTCTAGCCCTGCACAGTATAAGGCTTCCACCGTGACACAAGGATCTCATAATAAAGCCTGCACCATGCTTTTTATGGTACTCTATTTTTTCACGATGGCTGGCAGTGTTTGGTGGGTGATTCTTACCATCACGTGGTTTTTAGCAGCTGTGCCAAAGTGGGGTAGTGAAGCTATTGAGAAGAAAGCATTATTATTTCACGCCAGTGCATGGGGCATTCCTGGAACTCTGACTATCATCCTTTTAGCGATGAATAAAATTGAAGGTGACAATATTAGTGGCGTGTGTTTTGTTGGCCTCTACGATGTTGATGCATTGAGATATTTTGTTCTTGCCCCTCTCTGCCTGTATGTGGTAGTTGGGGTTTCTCTCCTCTTAGCCGGCATTATATCCCTAAACCGAGTCCGAATTGAGATTCCATTAGAAAAGGAAAACCAAGATAAATTAGTGAAGTTTATGATCCGGATTGGTGTTTTCAGCATTCTATATCTCGTACCACTCTTGGTTGTAATTGGATGCTACTTTTATGAGCAAGCTTACCGTGGCATCTGGGAAACAACATGGATACAAGAACGCTGCAGAGAATATCATATTCCATGTCCATATCAGGTAAGGGAAATCTTGTTATAAATTTCTCAATGTGTAATAGTGAAAAAGAGGCATATTACTAGCTGTTCTTTTAAAAACTCTTCATAACCCTTCAACTTGTACATTAAGATTTTAAGGCAAAGACAGCAAATATAGTAAGTCTGTAATACACATATTTCTACAGATTCCTTCATTTTAAGATGATTTACATGTCTAAGCTTTGCTTTTAAACATTCTGTTTTTATTATCACAAAACAAAACAGTTCTTTATTGATTCTGTAGAAATCCCGGTTTGTAGGGGAGAAACACTGTACCAATACTGATGAAAAAGGGAACGGTCTTTTGTAGAAATTTTACTGATGGTCACATAGGAATTAATTTTGAACAGTTTTGCAAAAATAATATAATGTAGTTATGCATACTCTTACAGCTTTGGTTTTTCTTGTTTGCATATGAATTTTTTGTGATGTACTTTGGGTTTTAAAGAGTTCAGAGCCTCTGGTAGTCAAAGAATCATAGAATTTTAGTTCTGGAAAGAACTTTACAGATAATTTATTTGGATTCTCTAAAGTTCTTTAACATTCATCTCTTGAAGCTTAGAAATATTAAGTGGCTTGCTTATGCTTAGTAAAAGAACAGCTGGGGTTTAGTCTTAGGAGTATAGTTGAGGAAAATAGTTTAGAGGAATTGATGATGTGTATTTCTTTCTCCTATTTTAAATCCTTTTCTAGAACCTGCACCTCTAGCTCTTACTCTGTTTTTCCTTTTAAAACAAGTTTCTTCACAGAGTATTCTAACTAGATTTCTCCTGTTCATCATTCTCCAAGTTTCCTATTCTGAAAGTGCACCAACTCCCTTTCAATCTCCCTGAACGCTTATGTTTTTCTAATACCTCTTAAATACTTTCAATAAAGTATGTATTATAGGTAACTTTTTTCATTTGTGTTTTTCCCCTACTAGACTGTAAACTCTTTGCAAACAAGAGCTTCTTTTAAACTTTTGAATGCAGTTTCTGTAGGTTAGTAAATTATAGCAGTGAGAATGTGGTTTTATGGATTGAGAAGAGCTATTTTAAAGAAATGGCAACCGTAGTACATGAAATATGCAGTTAACACATGATCACTGCTCATATTCAGTGACTGAGAATGCCAATTTTCTCTTTGCTTTGTGGTATAAACAGTACTATACAAATGATATTTTTATTGTAGTATTTTTTTAAAGATAAGCCAATTCAAAATTAAGAGACCAGGAAAAAAATGAATAATTGAAATACTATTAAATTTCTTACCACAGTTGCTTACTAAAAACTCTTAATGAGTTTCAGACCTAAGGGTAAGTAGTTGAATTTTGTCTTAACTGAGGGGAAGATGATTGAATTATGTCAAATCCTTCCCCATATAAGTTATCTAGAAATATATATTAAGAGTTTTGAAGAACTATTATGACTATGACATAATCTTTAAAATTATCAAACATCAAATATATAAGTAATAAATTAATCAGTGTATTGTTGCTCCTTTCAAGACATTCTGAGAATTCTTTTAGCATCTTTAGGAACCAGTCTGAGCTATGCAGAAGTATGTGTGTATATGTGTATTATGTTTTTCCTTATACCCATACGTTAAAAGTATTTTCATAAAATATTTCAACATATATAAAAGAAGAAGGGGGCTGGGGATTTAACTCAGTGGTGCCACTGCCTGCCTCGCAAGTACAAGGTCCCGAGTTCGATCCCTGGTACCAAAAAAAAGAACAAGGAGTGATTTAATAACACAGATACTAAGCTGTAAACTCTGGAGCAAGGATCCTAGCTTCATATCTTTTATCATCTTCTAGCTTTATAACCTTGGATCAGCTTCACCTTTCTGTTCGCTGTTCTTCATCTATAAAATGAGAATAGTAATAGAATCTGCCTCTTGGGTTATTTTTAGGATTAAATATATGTGAACACTTAGAAGTGTGCCTACTATATAATACATGTTCAAGTGTTAGCTCTAGTCTTACTGTTTTTCTTGTATTATTATTGTTGCTGTTATTTACACATATATAATATCTTAATATAATTTTTAAAAGCCATCCCATACCAAGCTTTAGCAAATGGAGTATTTGGTTCAGACTCTTAAAAGAAATAACAGTACAGCTTGCCGTGATGACACACCCTTCTACTCCCAGCTGCTTAGGAGTCAGGCAGGAAGATCACAAATTCAAGGAAAGCCTAAGCAAATTAGCAAGACCCTGTCCCAAAATTTCATGAAAGGTCTGGATGACTGCCTAGCATGCATGAGGCCCTAGGTTTGATCCTCAATACTGCCCCAAAAAAGGAAAAAATAAGTACAGATTTAGTCTATATGTATATAGCTATAAAAAAATATATTTTTTTGAGACAAGGTCTCACCAGGTTGTGCAGGCTGGCCTCAAACTTGCAATCTGCCTTCCTCAGCCTCTCTAGTAATTGGGATTACAGGCATGCACCACCATGACCACCTAAAAACTGTTTGTTATACATAGCATATAAGTGGTATCATACTGTATGTGTGTTTCTTCACCTTGATTTTTTAACTTAACATTTTATTTTTGAGGTGTATTGATGTTAATACTACAGCTCTAGTTCATTTTTAGAATGTGTTTCCTTTTAAGGAAGTTAGTTATATTTCAAATATGTAGAAGTACAGAAAATAACAAATACTCATGTACTCACAACCTAACTGTCCTAAAGTATTAACGTTACATCAGATACATCTACTGCTGTCTGTATCTGGTATAAAAGATTTAGCTGATGCTTCCTTCATTCCCTTCCATATTCCTATTCCCCTCCATCTCTGTTCTCAGAGGTAACCCTTCTCATAAATAAGGTATTTATCATTCTCCCAAATACTTTATACTGTTACTGAATATTTGTGTCCATAAAACTTGCAGTGTTGCAAATTTTTTAAATGCCTATAAATGGGGTCATTCTGTATCTTGCCTTTTTCACTCAGTTTTGTTTTTGAGACTACATGTGTTGATCACTGTACTGCTAATTTGTTCATTTTAGCTGGAATAGTATACTGTTGTGTAAAAGTACTGCATTTTATTCACTCATTTTTTTATCAATGGATACATAGTTTCTAATTTTTCTGCTATTTTTCAGTGAATATTCTGATAATATTGGTCTTCCTTGCATATAAGTTTCCATGAGTTGTTTACCAGAAGTGGAATTATTGCAGTGTAACATGTAAGCATCTTGAACTGAAGTAATTGAATTTATATTTACACCAGAGTATGAGTTTCCCTTTTCTCCCCATCTTGGTATTCTCAGACTTTTAAGTTTCTGGCAACTTTTGAAATGATATCTCAGTGTTTTAGTAATGCACAGTTCTCTTCTCACTAATAAAATCGAGTGAAAATGTGTTTATTGGCCCTTTGGGTTTCTCCTGTGACTTGCCTGTATGTCAACTTTGCCCATTGGTCTGTTATTTGCTCTTTGCTGTTGCTGTTGACATATTCTTAGTATTTGTCAGTTATTTGTATAGGAGATGTCTTCTCTTGATCTCTCACTTATATTTAGACTTTGCACCTTTTTTTGTTTTAAGAGCTCTTTCATACCTCTAAAATCATAAAAGTCATCTGCCATATTTTTTCTAGCAGTTTTTGTAATTTCTTTTGATTCATATTTGTAGTCCTTGGAAGTTTTCTGTCTGTCATAAAGAACATAATTTTATTTTCCCATGTAAGTGAGCATTGTCCTTTTGCACTATTATTTGTCAGTCGTAATACAACCTCTATTAGGTACCAGTTTGATTTTAAGGCTTTTGTTTCATTGGTCCATTTGTTCAGCCATGTGTCAATTGCACTTTTCCTCTGCCTTGTTGTTCTTCAAAACTATTTTAGTTACTCTTGGCACTTTGCTCTTCTATGTGAATTTTAGTCAATTTCCTATGAAAAATATTATCAGGATTTTGATTGAAATTGTTTTTGATTTATAAATGAATTCGGGCGAAATTCCAATACTTTGCAATACTGTTGTTTTTTTTTTTTTTTTTTTTTTTTTTTTTTT